AGCGGCGAAAATACCGGCACATCGGTACTGCTGCGAATCACAATTAGTCGGCGAACTTAATTAGGATGATTTTGTTACAACTTTGAGCAATGGAAGGCGAGCCACTAGTGGACGAAAATTTTTTTTTAACCTTTACATCGAAAATGAGCTTGGAAAATCATCAAGAAAAGGTTTTAGGAAAACAAACTAACTTCTTTATGTTTCTTTTGACAATGTTTATTATCTTACGTTTGTTAATTTTAATAATATCAGAGTAATTTTCATTTACTTGTCACAGTTGAGTGACCAAAAATATGAAACTGATTTCAGTAGTTGATTGAAATAATTTAAGCTATAAAGGGCATCTCAATGTAAAGCAAACTGTGATAATTTATCATAATAATTTGGATTTATTAATAATTTGTAATTATTTGCAATTTATTTATATTAATTAATTTATTTATGATAACACTACTTGAATCTCTTTTTACGATTACTTTATATTAAAGATAAAAAGATTATTTGTAAATAAAATTCTATACAAATATCGTTGAACAATTAATTTATTAGTACAAAAAATAAATATAAATTTTGTAACTTATTTAAACATATATTATTTACTACAAAATTAATAAAATTGCTTATATATTTATCATAAAAATGTTAGTTTAGTAATGTCAATAATAAAAGTAAACATGTTATAAATATTTGTTATTAGATGATTTAATCAGCAATACAAAATCTACCTATTAAACTAATTATAAGAAGATATAATAATACGCCATTTCTTAAATTAACAAGAGCCTGTTAAATTCAGAAAAATACGAATAAGTGATTGTTTGTGAAATACGGTGTATTCAACTAGACATAAACTAACTAAACAGGATAATCTACAAATTCATACTATACTTGTGGTTAACTCTATCTGTATATTCAAGCACAGACATTATACGTTTACTAGGAACATCTAATTCATGGCTAATAGGGTTGTGGTTAGTAGGATGAGTCATCATGCGCATAAACGGGTAAGTTAGCGAAAGTAAGTGGTTATGTCTACAATAGACTTACGATATTTACGATCGAAATGGGATTAATCATTGAAGAATACTATTATACAGGTTGACTTATAACAGATTTCGATTTCAAGAGTGTATTACGAATTTCGAAAAATTAGCAACTGTAAAGGCGTTTTCATGAAAAGATTGCAGTATATAAACCCATGATTTACTACTGTCATAATTTACTAAACAATAATAGTATTAGTAATAGCAATAGTATTATTAATATTATTGCTGTAGTAATACTAGATAATTTATTGTAAAAATACTTTTCATGTTTTATTGCATATTATTTTAAGGAAAATTTTGGAAAGGGATTAAAAAAAGATTAACTTATTTCTTTCTATTTAAAAATCAATGCACAGGTTTTAATTAAACATTTTATTTAGTTCTGTCTACTGAATTATTCATCTCACTTAAAAACAATTAACTCGTAATGAAATAAAAGCAAATGATTTCCAATATTCGTTCAAAATTTTACAATTTTTATTCTTATATACTAATTCATTTTGAATATCAAGGTAACCCAGCATTTTAAACTGCAAAGTTAATCTTTTAAGTCGTAGAGCTATGTTTACAAGATAAAAAATCTTCAAGTTTTAACTTAGGCACTATTGTTCTATGTATAAAACTCTATATCGTGGAAATACAGACATTAATAAGAAGAATTGGGACCCATCATATTGTATACATATGTATCCATACTCTACTGTTCTTTCAAAAATTTTCGACCAAGTACTTAATGTTGATCTCTATGTCGTAAAGTAATAATTATCTTAGTAGTAACTTACGAATTCTGATCCAATTATCCGAATACTTTCTTAAAAATTGAACAAGTTTTCATCATTTGTTCAAGACAGAATTATGAACATAGAGTCGATCATTTTATACATTTGCCACGAATATAACGCTATTCTCAACTCATGCTCGCCTTTATGCAAACACTATCTTATATATAGAATGAATTTATATATATATTTTATATCTTGAGAACTTTCGTTTTATCAATTTTTTTACAGCGCTTGATTTGATAATTTTACTCAAATTTTCTGATATTGTTATCAAATAAATTGATAATTAAAGAAAAAGGCTATATAAAACTATATAATTAACTTATAACTTTATTATTTAACTTTTAATTTTTTATTTAATTAAAATAAAGAAATATTAAATACTTTTTATAACATCTAATATATATTCCGGAAAGTAGTTTTATGAGTATAAATAGGGATTATATACATCGTTATTATTTAACTTATATTGATCTGATTCGTAGAATTTTCTAAATTTGATTTTAAAAAGTACAGCAATTTACATAAATCAATTATTATCTACGATTAATATTTAATAATTTCATTTAGAATATAATTATGTATGATCTATTAAACCAATGATCAATTGATTGATAATATTCTTTCAATTAAATTAATTTTTATATATATATAGAAATTATCCCTAAAATAATAAAGAATTATATTGTTATACTACGATAAATATGTACAACAAAGTAGATAATAATAAAAATAGTTTTATATTATAACGTGTAATTTAATTAAAATTATATGCAAGTAAAAGAAAAACTTTGATATTATTACAAAATTTCCCAGATTACGTGTGAGTAGATATAACTTGTACTAATTAACTGATTATGTTTATACATTATTGAAAACATTCATTAATTATTCTTATCGATTTCTGCATGGCACATCAGAACAACTAATTTTAAATAATATAAATTTCAAGTAAGGAGCTCGAATAACTTATATTAAAAAATATTCAAATTATATTGTTATTAATTGTAATTATATTTATGACAAACAAAAAAACTTCATCCTAGTTATGAAAATATATGTAAATTATACTCAATTGTTCAGAAATTAATTGATAAATTTCACTTGTATAACAAATTTTCTATTATTCGATAAGGACACTCTAGTTATTCTTATTATAGAATTTGTATTAAAAAATCTTTCTTATAATATATATTTACACAAATTTTATTATAAAAAACTTATAAGAAAAACTATTTACTTTTCTTTCTTTGTACCTGTAAAAATAATGAGACATCTTTAACAATTCTAATATTCAACAAGAATTAAATATAGTTTCGATTAAAAAAAGGTTGCAGAAATTTTTCTTTAAACGACTAAGATTGTATATTAAAAACCGGGGGTCTTAATATGCTTAACAATAAAAATGTCCAGTCGTTGACAAATATACTTTAAATTATAAATCATTTATGGGGGAGAAATCTCTTAATTACAAATTTTATGACATTGCTCGGCGAGAAGTTGCGAAGCTTTGTACTAATCCGAATGATATAGTGATTTGTAAATAGAAGAACTTATTATAGATTATACCTTAAGCGAGAAATGGCAGGTATGAAAACAAGCACATTTTTTACCGCTGTGAAAAGGAAGCGCGTTATTTTCAAGCCGGCCTTTTCTCTTCTTCCTTATAGTTCAGAATAAACCTACTGTCCTATTATGGGTCCATGGGCTCGTCTTTGAAGGCCTTATGATTATCAAGGTACCTCAAATTTAAATGTCTTTACCAATACAATCATTACGACATATGATTACTCTATCACTGTTTCATATATATATACATTATTGTATAATAAAAAAAATTTTTATTAGAGTACTTTAATTCGTTATTCAACTACAATTTACAGTAATACATTTATTTAAATTTTTCACTTGACATTTTTCTTAAAAATGTAACATGTCGATTCAAAGAAATTAGGATTCGCTTCTAGTTTCTCATATTGAAGTCATTAATCGTGATAGCAATTTTCAATTAAAAAAAGGTATATTAGATATTTTAGATATATTTCATCTTCTTATTAAATATGTTACGTACTTGAGAATTATTATAGAAACATAGTTCCACATTAGAATTTACTTTTTATCTACTATCCGCATTTTACTTTGCTAAATATAAGCAATTATCTTTATAATTTAAAACTATTTATTTCTGTTCAGACCTAATTTTTAAAAATCTTTATAAATTTATTTAAATCTCGTAAGTTCTTGAACAACAACAAAATTCCAATCATGGATATATTAAAGGAATATTGGAATGGTATAATAATGTTATGAAATGGTCTATTATGTTCTTACATTCTTCAAAGAAACTTAAAGTACTTCAGAAATATTAAATATGGAAAAATAAATATAAAAGTTCCTAAAAATTTCCGGAAATACTTTTGAACATGAACATTCATTTATTCTATACATTCATATTGAAAAAAATTTAAAGAAAAATAATTTAAAATGATCATTAGAAAATGCTTTAAATATTTCAAGTAAGTCATATGTTATAAATTAAATAAATACATTCAAAATTGATGATACTAGAATAATTTTATTATAACATAAAATGCATCAAACAAATTCAACGCTATAGTATAAGAATTATGTATTTTATAATGTTTTAAAACATTCTAATCGTTTTTATATACCGTTTGAAAAATATTCAATTTATGCACAACGGATCAAATACAATAATAAAGAGTTGCTATTATTTTGTAAAAAGTATGATAGTTATTTTTAACTAAATTACATAATAGTTCATAATTACGTTTATGTAAGTAATATTCTATAATAAAATAAGTATAATTATGAGCAACTGATCAATATACATTTTTAACTTACATTAGTTATAACTTTTTTATTTTCATTAAAAAAATTTACAATATAATTTATTAATTGTAATCACAAAAAAAAATTTCAATTCCAAAAATAATGGTTAGGTATTAAATAAAAAATAAGTATCACTAATCAAATTATTATATATTATAATAATAATAATTATTATTATTATTATTATAGTATATATTATACTGTTCAAAACTTTAGAATAATTTTAAATTAAATTAAACATTACAATACACAATATTACATTATAAGATTACAATACATACTAAAAAGGAATGTAATATAAATATTGTTAATTACTTACAACTATTAGACGATTCGATCACATATTCAGAAATAGTTGTTTTACCTAAAACAATGAAAAATAATAAAATACATTATGTTTAATTTATAAGTGTTGTTCATACTTTCATAATTAATTATACGCTTTTAATTATTAGAAAAATTAATTCAATAATTTTTTATATGAGTTTGATAAATATAAATTTATATTTACTTATTTTTATGTATGACATAATCGATATATATTGTTCAACAGATTGTAATTATCAGTTTCAAAATGTTATAAAATATAGAAACTGCTTTAACAGCATATAGATAAAATGTCTTTTATTACAAATATTATAGATTAATACACTAAATTGCTTATAATTAAATTAATTAAAATTTCATCTCTTTGTCAAATTTGCTGTATGCTAATATTAACAAATTTTTTTTAATGATTTATTGCGTTAAAAGTCTGATGTAAAAAAAGATTTCATACGCTAAATGAGAATAAAATTTTAATAAAAACAACTTCTGAGATACAGAAAAAGCAGAATTTAATGATAAAAAGAGCCTTTCATAAAATGATTCCAGTAGGAACTGAAAAGTATAAAACAAAATACATGCATCGACTTCTAAAAAAGATAAGCCTGAATAAACGTAGATAATTCAAATTTAAGGATGCGAAAAAGTAAAATATGAAGATATAAAAGACCAACTAAGTGAGTGCTACGCATCCGGGAACTAAGCAACTTAAAAGAAGAAAAGTAAATAGACATATAGAAGGACAGATAGATACACACACCCACACATGTATATATATCTGACCAAGAGATTAAGCTGCTTAACTCTCTTTCTCCCCCCCCCCCCCCCCCATCTCTCTCTCTCTCTCCCTCTCTCTCTCTCTCTCTCTCTCTCTCTCATCTCTCTCTCTCTAAGAAAAATAGATAGTTAGAGTTAAGAGTTAAGCAACTTAATCTCCTGCTAAAATTCCTGCGCACGAAAATATCTTTTATTTTCATTTATCTACTTTACAAGTTTAAACAAATTCTCAGTTTTTTTTCAATAACCTAGTTGTTGACCAGGTCTTTTTCTTTATTTTCTAATATATTTTTATACATATAGCACGCAGAGGCAATATCAATTTTAATGATCGATTACCAAATTTATTTTTTCACATCGCTGATTTTGTTTTTGTATTGTTTTTAAAAATATTTGTTTATCATCGAATGTATTTATGCGGTCAGCTACTTCTGTACATTTCGATTTCTTCATAATTAATTAAAATAATATTTTATTTTATATAACATTCATAAAAAATGGATTAAAAAAAAAATTTAATCTAATGTCATTGAATCGCTACTTTAATAATCTTAAATATATTTTGCAACAAATCCTATAAAGAAGCTTCATATTTATTAGGAAATATTTGAATTTATAAAAAATGAAGAAGCCACTCAAGGTAATTAAAACTATATAAAATGTGATGATAATAAGTGTGTAAATTATGATAGAATGAGATTTAAAATATTTGTTATGTATTTTTTTTATAAAAAACATTCTATATAAAAATGTAATTAGATAGATTTAAATTTCATCTTTATAATTTAATTAAATATGTATTAATAATTAAATTTATAATGTAGTTTTAACAAAAAAAGTATATATACATTATAATCACATTTTACAATTAAATACATAAAATATAAAATTGCTAGACATTAAGTGTCACTGTACCGAATACGATTCTTCCTCATCTTATTAACACAATGAATATATTATAAAAAGCATGAAGTTTCAAACAATTGTTTAATTAAGTCAGTTACGTCTATAATTTCATTTGTATATTTCGTATATAAATGAAAACTATATTTTAATTTTGTTGAATTATTTTAAACCAAACACAGAACTATTCTCATAAATATTGACAAATCTACAAATCTTACTTCAATATTTAGGCAATGATAGTGATCAAGATTTAATTATTATGACTCGATTTTACATATACACATTTACTTAAGAATATAAAATAAAATTATTAATATCGTATTGAAATTTAAAAAAACAAAACTGAGTCAGGTGAAAATAATCGCGCTTCAAACGAAAGAATTAAGCTTTTAATAGGGAAAATTTACTAACATCAAGCACGTTTACTTAATTTAATAAGCTAAATATAATTGAAATAATTTCTAAATATTGACTTTTAATTATAATTTATTAAAATATAGAGTATTCGAATTTTACGCAAGTAATATTAAATAGTATAAATATTAACAATATTAATATTAAATTCGAAATGTTTCATTATATTTCAAATAAATGATCAAAAAAGTACAGGTTACTTCTTGACAGTCGTTTTAGAATATAATATATATAATTAACATAGTATAAAAACTCACTAGGTAAATAAATGCCAATGATTGGGTATTTGGTAGGAACATTATATTAGTATATATGAATAACTGAAACTTTGCAAATTTTGAATTTATACACTTTCATTTAAAAAGCTTATACGACATTTATTTGATTATTTATCACAAGAATTATGAGAAAACTGAAATTTCTATATAAGTTTATTTTTGCAGATACGGAGTAAATATATGATTAAAAACTGCGTCTTCGTAATCTATACGAAGAAAAATGGATGGCTAAATTATCTTTATTATTAATACGTGTATTTAGTGTGTTTAAAATATTCATATCACAATCAGATATATAATTATAAGAGATAAATTTGATAATAAAATTTAAACAATAGCATTCTGGCTCATTGTATTAGATCAAATATTTTATTTAATAAATTAATAATGAATTGCTTTTCAAATTATGAACTGATTTTCAAAGAATATGACTATAGCAATTGAAACCTTCGCCTTGCCTTCTAGAAATACTGAAAACCCATAAGTAATTATGTTATTTATAGTTAAATCATTTTACTCAAAATATATTATGATTATTGTTGATTAAATATTCATTTCTAAGAAATTAATACTAATTCTAGGAAAGAAATTAAAATTAATTTTTCCGAGGAATAATTATTATATATCTTCAATGTTTGTAAATAAATTATGTTCAATAAGTTAAAAGAATTGCGAATAATTAATTATTCGATAATTTCAATACTTCTGAAAATTTAAGCATAACGTCATATTTATGAAGTTATAGTAGATGATTTATCATTCGGTTGGATCAATAAATTAATAATATTGATAAAATACTGAATATTATGTTGAATAGCAAATAATATTTTAAACACCTAGATAGAGAGTTACTAAATAATTCTAACTATTAACTTTTCAGTACTTATCATATATCTTAAAAATTTGCCAGTGTACAGTAATTTCGTAAAACTAAGGTAAATATATATATATATATTATTTGCTATTCAACTTAATAATCAGTATTTTATCAATTTTATTAATTTATTAACAATATGATTTATAAGTCATCTACTTTTAGCTAACGTAAGTCTATTATTCGATAGACGAACAATTATCCTTAGAAAATAATATTATCCCAATTAGGTAAACGAAACTGCACTTTTTATTTGTAATACTTTTTTGGATTACATTAATTGCAATGATATGGTAAATTATCACTTAAATATAGTAATTTTTTCCTCTTATTTAAAAAGGATACGATTGTAATATTTTCTTAAGATATAAACGTAATTTTTTATTTATTTCTATTTACATTCCAAGTGTAACGTATATTTAATATTCAATAAAAATATATTCTATTAAATTCACTGGATTTAATCATATTTGCTATTTATCAAATTGCTCTTAATTTAAACTTAGTTTAACTTCGACTACATTTCAGATTACATATATCAAATATTTTTATAAATAAAAAAAACGAAATATTTATATCCAATAATTGTTGTGAATGCTATTTAACTTTTAACACAAATAAAAATAATATATTTCCATACTTTAGATTTCTTGCTGTAAAAATAATTTGTTAAACTAATAACACGTCAAAATTTTCGTATCTACAAATGATTATCGACTATCAAAGCAATAAATGAAATAGCATACTAAAATTTTATAGAAGTGAAATGATAATGATATAGTTGACAGGTAATTTCGTGGACTTACAAATCGAAGTTTCCAGTTAACATTTTCCACAATTCGAGGAAGGCTGAGTGCGTAATAGCGACAATTCGGCTATTTAAATAACACTTTAGGTTCAATACAGAGATAGATATGTCGAAGAATATTTTCCATAAAGTTGAAAGATTAAAAATTTTCATATATCAAATTTTTGAAATATCAGTCGATCATAAGAATAAATATATAATATATACATAATCCATGGAAATTTGTTAATACATGTATTTAAAAGCAAAAAGCAATTTTTCTTATCATTTTATTTCCAATCGATTTGTAGTATTAATTAATTAATTTTTTTCCTAGCCTGAATTTATTCAGGAGTCACGACTTTCTATTTTAATAGCGAAAATATATACAACTACTTTATATTGCTTCTTCTCTTTTTCTCTCTGTTGTATTAAAAAAATTGGAATTGCGATTCAGTGGAAGAGTAGTTAAATTGTACGGACAATTATTTATCATTAAATTTAAAATATAGCTTGGAATGTGAATCTTTTTGTAGTCATTTATTCACTAATGATATACACAACTACTTTATTATTGCATGCGCTTTTTAACGGTAAATACAAATAAAGAACTAAAAGATGCAGAATGCCAAGAATTGTAATACATTATCTGAAAAATTACATATTATTAAAGTTACTATCTACTTAAAATACATATTTACAAGTTTCATATGACGTATAATGTGACAACTCAAAATTTAAATATAGAAATTAAGAAATTTGTTGGACATTAATTTTGTATTGTATTGGATTCGAAGTATTTTATATTCTCAAGTAATTATAAAAGGTACTTTAATATTACATTTACAATTGCAATTTTTAAGTTGTGTAATTTACGTCAATGCCTACATTTGTGTAAACATTTTTTACTGTTATCGTATCATTTTCTCAAAAAGAAATTTAATAATCAAGATAGTACGATAAAATATACCATAAATGGTTCTAAAAGGTAA